ATGGGGGGAGGAGGGAAGCCATCTCTGCATTATACTTAGAAGGCAATAAAGTAAAAAGTGAAAAATGGATACACTCTGCCACTGTGATAGGAGCATTCACTCCATATGATCAAATCAAAGGTGAGGAAAAGATGAGATGAGGAAAAATTATTGATATTATGTCACAAAATGGGTGAGCTACTTATTGGTAAGTTTGGTAAACAAGATAATTGGATGATCTTAATGCTGAGCTGAAGAGCTCAGAATAGGAATTCAGGACATTCACTCAGAATGACAGCACTCTGTTAGAGTCAAATTACAATATGTCCCATTGTGGCTGATCAGACCAATACAAGCTTGGAATGCTCTACCATAGTCCGGGCACAAATAGTCCACGTGAACATTTGGGCTGGATTCTTTAAATCTGTGCATCTCGTATTTCTTTTGAGCTAAATTTTTTTTTAACAAATAGAAGAAATAGTCAAATAGGAGACAAAACATATTCAATTACATTTTTAAAAAAGAATTTTCCACAACATCAAAAATAGCAATATATGCAGAGTGAAAAGGTAAGGAAAAATCTTTGCCATAAACACTTCTTCTAAAAATATAACACCCAAATCTAAGAACGGAGGTAAACTTTTCAGAGTTGGAAAGTGCCTTTCCCATTACACGGAGAGTCAAAAGTCAAAACTACCACCAACTGGGCAGGCAAACCAGCTTAGCTGAAGCAACAAGGCACCCAGAGGGAGAGAGAGGAGGCAGCTTGTGCCAGACAAGTCAAAGCAGGACCATCTCCCCTCAGACACCAATGGAGATAGCTCAGGATCCTGAACTCAAGAGCCTTGGGTATAGCAACCCTTCCAGCCCATGCCTTCAGCCATCACATCATCAGGGAAGCAGCCCCTGTGAGCTGCAGCCTGGCAACTGCTTCTGCAAGTGCTACAGCCACAGCTACCGAACAGCCAGATCAGAATGTTCTTGCCACCAAGGTCCTTGATAATGACAAATAGTTCAATATCAGAAACTCACATTATTTTATCAGTGGAAATAACATAACATTAAAGAAGAAGCATGAACATCTGCTTTGTCGTTGCACCCTAAGGACCGTGGGACTTTTGCATCTGACTTGGGGCTGAAATTGAATTTTGTCTTCTCCAGTAGAACATGAGTTCCTTGAGAACAGGGACTGTCTTGCTTTGTTCGTTCATTCATTTACCCAAAGGGTATGAACAGGCATTTCTTAAAAGGAAGAAATGCAAGTGATCAAGGAGTCTTTAAATGATTATTCTAATTATCAGAGAAATACAAATTAGAGTGACTCTGAGATTATTTACACACATCAAAATTGGCAAAGATATTATCTTTAAGCAAGATTTGGATGGCCATTTTTGGGGTTATATTCTAAAAAGGATTCTTGTCCAGGTAGGGGTCAGGCTAGGTGATATCTAAAGTCCTTTGTAACCCTGATGTTTTGTAATTCTGTGTTAGATAGAGAAAGCATTTATTAAGTGCTTAGTTTGTGCCAAGCCCTGTGCCAAGTACTATTAATCTGGAGTCCATAAACTGAATTTGGACAAAGAAGACCTTCTTCTTCATCTGTAAATGAGAGATTTAGACTGCATGATTTCTAAGGTCCCTTCTAGTTCTAATCAATGAAGCTCCCAAAATCAAAGCTAAAAGAAATCATTTACAAAAGAGTAATTTAGAAATGGTCTTCTCTAAAACACTTCTTGCAAAAGAATCGTGTTTGACACATACCCATTTTTGACATACAACCACATTTGACATACTTCTTCTTCTCTCCACCCCCACCCAAGGCTGAGTGGGGTGAAATTCTGGGTTTCCTTTATGTATCAGGATTTCTGTTGGCCCCTCAAATAGGAGGACCTTCCACTTCCCATCAGTAGCTTAGCTCAATATGAATTTTGCCTTGATTTTTTTTCTATATGTATACATTTTGTTGTTCTTCCCTCCACCACCACCAACAGCTAAGCCACAGGAAGAGAGAGAGTACTGAATTTCACTTGATTGGATTCAAAGACTGCAGCAGATTGTAGAACAAAGAGATAGAAGTCATTGGATTTTCCAACCTTGGACAATATTAAAATTTTTAAAAATGTTTTAGTAGGCATGTGATATGGTCATTTTACTGTGGCATCATACCTCAGTAATTTGATAGATCTTAAAATCATAAATGTAGAGCTCAGAGGGTAGCTGTTGTTCACTCATTTTCAATCTTGTCCAACTCTTTGTGATCCCATTTGGGGTTTTCTTGGCAAAGATACTGGAGTGGTTTGCCATTTCCTTCTCCAGTTCATTTTACAGATGAGGAAACTGAGGCAAACAGGATTAAGTGACTTGCCTACGATCACATAGCTAGTAAACCTCTGACACCAGATTTGAACTCAGAAAGATGAGCCTTCCTGACTCCAGGCCCAGCACTCTATTCATTGTGCCACCTACCTGCTTCCTTAGAGAACAATAAGATCTTATAATCTAGAGGAAGAGACCTAGGAGATAATCTAATCCAGTTGTGTCAAACTCAAATGGAAACGGAGACCACATACATGAACATCCCTACAGTCTGCGTATTTGCTTAATTTTAAAATGTAATGTTATAGGCTAATGTGGAAATATGTTTTGCATTACTCTGTGTGTGTATATATATATATATATGTATTGTATTTCTTGCCTTTGCAATGGGTGGGGGAGAGGGTAGAAAGGAGAGAATGTAGAACTGAAAATAAAAAAAAATTTAAATATAAAAGAATAAATAAAATGTAACATTATCTATGTTTCATTGTATTTTTATTCATTTTGTTGAACATTTCCCAATAACATTTTAATCTGATTCCAGCCTCCCTCTGAAGTATTGCCAACCCACATGTGACACTACTCCTCTGATCTAATCCAAGCCATTTTACAGATGGGCAAACCAAGACCCAGAGAAATGAACTGACTTGCCCAAATTTACAAAGTAGAAGAGTCAAGAGTAGAATTCAGCTCATTCTTATCAGTGAGGTCCACCCTCCGCTATAAATGTTATAATATCGTTATGCTTTCTCATTCTTTGCAATTCCTTTCCATGTCATTCCATAAATCTTCCATCCAAAATAAGAGACCTTTCTCTTCATTTTTTTTGCAAATATTCTGAGAGATTGTAGAGTTATAGAATTATAGAATTAACCTGAAAGGGACAATAAAGCAACTGAGGCCCAGGGAGGTTAAGTGATTTCCCCAAGGTCACACAGGTCATCCATGATCTGAGCTCTGGACAATTTCAAATACCAAAGCTGGAGCCATGTTTTAATTTCACAGAAAACTTTCTCCTCAAGAAAGGCTAACTGAGGCTAAAGGTTAACATATAGAATTTGCGCATCACCTACCTTCTCACCAGGAATTTTTTGAAGTAGTGAATTTTAAAAATTTTTAAAAATTTTTTCTAAGCTTTTTTTATTAATTAATTTATTTTTAGTTTTCAACATTCACTTCCATAAGCTTTTGAGTTTTAAATTTTCTCCCCCTCCCTTCCTATCTCCCTCCCCAACATGACATGCAATCTGATATAGGCTCTGAAGTAGTGAATTTTTAAAAACATAACCGTTAACATCATGCCTTAGGTAGGGGACAGAGGGCAGTAATGGCAAAAATAACCTAACATATTGATTAAACTGCAAAGTAAAGAAAAAATTTCTTCCCTAATACCAAAGACACATAACAGGGAGTTAGGAGTTATTTTTCTGAGCAATTTCATATTTGAAGATATAATGGTAGTAAGAGCCTAATAATTGTTGAATGTTTGGGGAAAATAAAGTCCATCATAGTCTCATAATGAAGATAAAGTTTTAATTCTTCATCAATGACTGGAAAAAAATTACTCATTTGTAATAGCACCTTGCATTTACTATATTCATCTCTGAGGAGAATAAAATCCAACAGAAAAATTATTCATTTATATTCACTATCATCCACATGAGTTGGGGATTGATTTTTTAATTTTCATTTTATATGTGCTAAATGGTGTTATAATGGAATCATAACATCCATACTTCTGAATTATACATTCTGGCTAAGCAGTAGATTAATTTGGCTCATATTTAGGTATTACAAGAAGTAATTAACTAAACAAAACTAAAATACAAAAAATAAGTAATAAAAAAATCTAAAAAGGTTTAGTGGTAGTTTTTTTTTTAATTAAAAAAATTCATATTGTCTGCCAATCCCTTTCAAACACTCTGTGGTCCAGTATAACTGACCTTCTCACTATACCTCACACTTGAAATCCCCTTTCCCTTCTCTATGCCTTTGCATTGGCTGTTCCATGCTTGGAATGCACTCATTCCTGACCTCTACCATATGGAATCCCTCACTTCCTTCTGGAGTCAGCTCAAGTACCACCTTCTACATGAAAGCCTTCCCCAACCTTCCCACTCCCTGCAATTGCTAATGCCCTCCCTTCCTAGCGATCTCACATTTATTCTGTATATACTTAGATATTATATGTTACCTCCACAGATAGAATGTAGGGATTATTTTGTTTTTTGTATCCCCAGCATCTAGCAAAGTGCTTGGCACATAGCAGGCACATTAAAATGCTTGTTAATTGATAATTTATTCTTGAGCATGGCTTATCCATTTCCTTTAGTTCAGCTGCTCGCTTGAACATTTTTGCTTTTCCCAAATGAAACCAGAATTTTGAATAGACTATGCCTGGAGCCCTACAACGTATAGCTGATAGAGCTAAGTGATAACAGTCATGGGCCATGTTTCATTCAACTGCAAAAACCTTTTTTTTTTTTTTTGCCAAATAAACAGATTGCAGAATCTGTTGAATGCATTGATCTCTGGTTGAACATCGATGACAAAGTATAGGAGGGCGAGTAACCAGGGGAGTGAATAACAGAGTTATTAGAAATACATAGAAATTTCCTAATAAAGGTGAAAGAGCTACGGGTGCTCCCTGTATTTCAGATTAAAATGAGAAGATAGACTCTGAATTTAAGAAATGACGTCCTTACCGTAGTATCATTGGTGGTTATGTAAACCAGAATATCAGAGGAGTTTCGGCCATTGATGTATCGGTAACAGTTCCAGACACAGCTAATCAGGTAACCCTGGCAAGAAGAGAGTAAGAGACATTGAACATCTTCCTAGGAAAAAAATACAACAGTGTTAATGCTACTACAAATATCCCTTAAAATTATGTCATTTAGGCAGAACAGGCAGAAATATCAAAGCAAGGCACTGGTTCATTTTACAGAAATCAATTCCCTAAACTTAAGAATTTTCAAACTGGAATCCATCAGTCATTGGATGGCGGCACCTGCTGGCAAAATAGGTAATTGTAGCCTATTCAAGATGATATAATTTTGTATTCAGACTCGGAGAAAAAGAGAATTGTAGGTCTACACATGTACAATCAGGTATCCTTAAGCATGTTAAATATCCCTGCGGTCTCAGACAGGGAATTTGAGGGATATATGAACAGAGAGGAAATCTTGGAGTTATGAAAATCCTAGAAGTGTCACAAAAGTTCAGCAGAGGATGAGATGGCTACATGCATTCTTTTCTTGCTCAATTTTAACCTACTTGTCCTAGCCCAGAAACAAGCCATTAGCTGATGCCAAGGGGCCAATGGGGTAACTAAAAATGTGAATCCTTAACATGTCGAGGTTGTTTCACAGGAAGTCATTTAAGGCAACTCGAAGTCATTAATCTAAAATATAGGTAGGGTCAAAAACTAAGAGAGGACAGTCGATGAACCAAGCACTGTTAGTTGGGGTCTTTTTTTTTTTTTTTTGTGCTCCACTACCGTCATTGCCCTGGCTTGCTTCTATTAATGATGGAATTACCTCTGGGTAAATGTTATTCTGGGTCCATTTCTTTTAAATGCACTTGTGATTGCCTTTATCCTTGGATATTATTCTGAGTTTATATACTTATCCCCTTTATAAATAAAGTTTTGTGGAAAAAGCATACTTGTGGTTTAGAGCGTGTGGCAGCAGAGAGAAAAGAAAGAGGAAAAGGATGTTGGACAGTTCACAAGCAGCAAAAGAAGAGGGACTTGTGATCAGTGATTGGTAGGGGTAGCAGTTATTGGACCCCAAGAAGCCAAGCAGTTCAGTGATCAGGAAAGTCGGGAGCTTGGTAGACACCTTGAACCATGAGTTAGAGATCAATGCATTTTAGATAACAGTAAAAAGAAATCCCTGAGAAAAGGGGGCAGTGATTTTCTGGGTTATATCTGATGCTGTGATCACCCCGAAGGGGAGATTTTCAGCAGGCCATAGGCCTAGGATAATTCCTTTACAAGTGATTCAATTTTCCATCTACTGGGAATTGTTTTTCCTGTAGGATTCAATGTACAGAATTTGTTATATGGGCAGTCAACTTTACTGAAACTTTAATTCCATAAAAGTAAGAGATAACTATGTTTAGTAGTACACAATACCCTAATACTTACAATACACACAAAATTTGTGCAAATTTAATTCTTGATAAACAAATTATAAATGCCAAGCAATATGCAAAGGAACTTTGGTATTTAGTTTTCATAATAGAATAAAACTAACAATTCCAGGAGGGAGAACAATCCACTTAAATTCGTAGCATAAAGACATGCTTGAATTTAGGCAGATGTGATCTGACCAGAGAAGAGTACAGAATTATCACTTCTTTATACCTGGAAGGCATGTTCTCTTAATGCAGCCTAATATCCCATTAGCAATCTTCTATACAAAATCACTGTCTATTCAAGTCTCAGTAATTATCAAGAGTGGGCCCATAACCTTGTCCAATTTGGGAAGTCTTAATGTGTCAAATAACTGAATTGTGTCTGAGTATGTCCCTGAAATACTCTGGAAATGTAATCAAGAAAAATGAACCAAACACAAATAGGAAATCAATGTTTGTTTTAATCACCCAAAAGGTAATGTAATAGAGAGGTACATGGTGGGTGTGAATAGGCTGTAATACACATAAAAAATGGTATTATGCAGATGAATCAGCATAAAAGATGTCCTCAAAGAAATGAATGGTTAAAAATTTACCACTGAGCAGCTAGCCTTTTATTCTTTCTTCCCTACCTATATCTGAAGTTAGACTGTAACTCCATTGGTTTTGCTAGAAGATATCTAATTAATGTTTGCTGATCTACTAATGAACCTGGTAATACTGACTCTTAATAGGGGTTACTGATCTCCATGATGGAACTTGATCTGAATTTTAAAAATCTTTTCTTTACTGAAGCTAACACTTTTATTACCGGGAAGTGATCATCAGAATTTCTTACTGGCTGGTTCCCAATTCTTGGTAAGGTGAAAGATTTAGCAAAATTTAAGAGCTAAGAATTTTAAAATAGGGCTGTTAACACAGTGGGGTTATGTAAAGAGAAGCAAATCTAGGGATCAGTGGGAATATTAACCAAACTCATAAAATAACAGGCACATCTTATTATTCCCAACGGGTAGTCCAAAAGATAAGTCTTGCTCTGTGTATTATAATTTATATCAAATATCAATATAGATATTACCCTTGGGAGGACTTGTAATTTATAGCTACTGGCTTGCTGCTGGAAACTGTAAGTGTAAACTGAGTAAGCAAATTTTAAAAAGCAGCCTTTTCACTAAAGCTGAAACATGAGCCCACAGGAGAGCTGTAACATGGGTAAGGCAATCAGGGCTCTATCTCAGGCACTGAAATTTAGAGGGCACTAAAAGCATTTGCAGTCTTTCAACAGCATAAAAACAGTTGAGACTTCCTAGCAAGCTAACTTTTAACTAGTCAGTTAAAATAGAAAGCTTCTAGATAGTGGCCTTCCTCCTCCCAGAGGTCACATCCCTGCCAGCTTGGACTTACCTACCGTTTTCCATCTCTGATAGTGGCTTCCTCAGCAGTGCCTTGAGAGCAGTCCCTAAGGTCTCTAGCTATGGAGGTAGACCTCTAAAATAGAATTCTCTCTTTCTGCATTATGGGGTGGCATCCTGGGCTCATTCCCACTCAAATGAATTTGCCTTCAAAAAGTCAGCTTGAAGACATGTTTTAGGTTGCTTTTTCTGGGTACAAAAATAGGTAAGTACAAGTTTGGCCCATAGTCTGAGCCACACTACCAGAGCACACCCCCTTAATATCATCTGAGGAGCGTCTGTCCTTTACTACGGTCTTTACCTGCCCAAAGAGTAGGAGACACAGGATTGCTCTAAGGACTCGAAATAAGCCATGGAGAGAGGAGGATGGAGACCCATTCCCCTTTTCTGCATGACCTGGAAGGCTCCCGGGCAAGCATCCATTCAAGAATGCTGGAAGCTTGATCCTTAATTCCAATTCATAAACTTGTCACTGTCTGCTTTTATATATCAGAGTGATAAATAGCACAAAGCATTTGATGCTGGCCAACACTCATTTCATTAAGTGGCTTCCATAAATCTGCACATGCTTTTGCAAGCACACAAAAATTCAATTAAAGCATTAGATCCAACTGAATTTTAGTGCCTGTCTCACTATGTAGAGTCATATATTTTAAGATGCAGACACACTAATGGTATGTGCCCAGACTGACCATTAAGCAAGGAGAGCCGAGAGCTTGTAATGACCCCAATTCCTGAGGAATAGGCTGAGTAGGGGAAGAGCAACGTTAACTGAGCTCTATCTCAGGCCTCCTACTGTCCTCCAGACCCAAAGAAGCTCTTACGGGAAATAAAAATTTACTGGAGCTTTTAAAAAAAAGAATAATTCTTCTTTAAATCATGTATTTCCCAGATTTAGTTACTTCCTATAAGTCTTAATTTACATGTAGTCAGGAGCAGGCTTCTCAGTCAATGGAAATACTAAACTATGGCTCAATAGAGGTTCTCACTGCTTAACAATTTTCAAATACTATTAATGCTTTTTGTGGGAGTAATAGAAGGGATGCTGGGTTTGGTGTTAGAAGATGTGGGTTTGAATCTCAGGTGTTCCACTGTGACTGGCAGCATGACCTTGGACAAAGCAATTGATCATCTTTAAAACAAGGTGGCTAAACTACTTGGGCAGCTAGGTGGCTCAATGGATAGAGTACTGGGCCTGGAGTCAGGAAGACTCATCTTCCTGAATTCAAATTCAGCTTCAGACACTTACTAGCTGTGTGACCCTGGGCAAGTCACTTAACCCTATTTGCCTTAGTTGCTTATCTGTAAAATGAGTTGGAGAAGGAAATGGCAAACCACTTCAGTATCTTTGCCAAGAAAACCCCAAATTGGGTAACAAAAAGTCAGACATGCCAGAATAACAAAATATATGGTATCTTAGGTCACGTTGAGCTCTGTAGCTCGGGTCCTGTATAATGGAATGTATTTATATGTACACAGAAATACATTTAAAACACCTGGGCACAAATTCCACAAAGCTATCCCTAATTATCTCCTTCCTAGATAACATAGTTCCTTTCCCTTTCCTGAATCATTCATGCCTTTCTTTATGACCCTTTTATGCTGTTATTTCTGTCTAACTTGGATTACTTTATTTGGATAAATGTCTCACTTCCATATTAGATCACAAATTCATTGTCATCGTGTCACTGTTCATCCTTGCACCCTCAGCACACATGTTTTGCACATAGTAGGTGCTTTGAAAATGTTTGTTAAATCAATGTTTATGTTATTTCATTTGATCTACACAAAACAGAAAACTGAAATCCAAAGGGTGGGAAAGAAACAAAAACCATTTCTTTTCTTTTGGCGAGGCAACTGGGGTTAAGTGACTTGCCCAAAGTAAGTGTTATGTGTCTGAGGCTGGATTTGAACTCAGGTCTTCCTGACGCCAGGGCTGGTGCTCTATGTACTACGCCACTTAGCTGCCCCAACAACGACCACTTCTGAGGGAGCCTTTATGTGTGTATACAAAGATGGTTGAATTGTAAGGGGGTGTATTTATGATGGGGTAGAAAAGCAATGAGTCTCATTAGGGGATATTACCAAACTAGCTAGATCTATAAATTTTGTAGGACATACTAGTACCTACTGAGAAGAACAGGAGGCACTCCTTAGCTTCCCCAGTTAGGATGCAGAGCACCTAGGAAGTTGCCCCCATCACTCTTCATATTAGAGTTAACCAAAAGCGGAACAGGTTATCTTGACAGGAAGTGGGTTCTCCCTCCCTAAAGATCTTCGGGCAGATGTTAGATAACCATTTGTTGGGTATATTGCAGTAGGGAGTCCTTTCAAGTATGGCTTATCTCCAGCTCTGAAATTCTGAGGTTCTCAGCTTAGAGGAGCCTCAAATGGCCAAGAGATGATGCTGGTTAGAAGGCCAAGGGCATGCCAGAAGCTCTTGTGGGAACAGGGCAGATGACACAACAGACTCAATTCTGTACATGCTTCTTTCCAATTAGCTGCTAATATTCAAGCTTAGTATAACAGTAATAATAATAGCTACCATTTGTATGGTGCTTTAGTATTTGCAAAGCATTTTACATATATTCTCCTATTTGCCACTTAACAACCCTGGGAGGTAGGTGTTAATTATTATCCCCTTTTTATGGATGAGGAAACTGAAGCTGAGAGAGGTTAAGGGATTTGCCCAAGATCACACAGATGGTAAATGTTGACTATTATAGGAGCTTATGACCTCATCACCCAGCTCCAATGCCACCTTGTCAGAAAGCCCTTCCCTGCTCAGATGCCATATCTTTTCACATTTTGTTGAAACTCCCTCATACACTTGTAAGGTTCTATTTGGAATTCTAGGTATCCAAGGAATTGCCTCTGCCCCCTGATTAGGTATTAAACTTCTTATTGGCAGAAAACATGTGTTATTTATCATTGTATCTCTCATATAATATATTACACATGGTAGCTGCTTAAAATATTTAATTGAATTTTGCATGAAAAAGGATCAATAAAAATTTCTGCATGAAACAATTTGAAAATGAACAATTCAAAAAGCAACCTCTATCTTTTGGTCTATCCAGGGGTTGCAGAACCTGCAGCCTTGAGGCCACATGTGGCCCTCTAGGTCCTCAAATGCAGCCCTTTGAATCCAAACTTCAGAGAATAAATCCCCTTAATAAAAGGATTTGTTCTGTAAAACTTGGACTCAGCCAAAAGGCTGCACCCAAGGACCTAGATGGCCACATGTGGCCTCAAGGCCATAGTTTCCCCACCCCTGGTCTACACTCTTTTCCTTCCCTCCTATCTCAGGGAAAAGGTGTCACTATGCTTTTCCAAGACTAACACCTTCACTTGTGTCTTCAACTCTGTCCCCTATTTCCTTAATTCAATCTGACTCAATTGAACAAGAATTCGGTGCTTACTTTGTGCCAGGTGCTGTGCTGGGCACTGGAGATACCAAGACAAATATGAAACAGCCCCTTCCCTTGAAGAATTAACATTATAGTGGGGAGAAAATGGAATACACAGATAAATACCTACAAAATAAAGACAGTAAATGCAAGGCTGGGAGAAGGGCCATTCTTCCTACCTCTAGCATCACTCTCCTCTCTGAAAGCCTCTAATAACTCCCTATTGCTTAAAGTGGGGGTGGGGAACCTTCAGTACCCCTGGCCCAAAGAATAAAATCTAAACAGAATAATATTCAAAGTTTTATACCATATGGCCCCAAGTTATCAATCTAAGTCACTACTATTCCTCTATATGTCTTTCCTCATGAAATCTCCCCTACAGGAGTTCCCTTCTACCTTGCTTTAACCAGTCTGGTATATTTCATGTAGTGTGCCCAGAACGTGCCATGGACATTTCCACCTCCACACCTTTAATCAGGCCATTTTCTACTTAGAAGTCCTTCTCTTATCTTAATCTTTACTCTTCAGGAATTCTTCCTTGAAATTTAAATTTCAGAGCTCAGCTCAAATACTCACTTTTTCTTTCTTTATTTTTCCTTTTGTTAAAACAAAACAAAACAAAAACAAACAAACAAACAAACAAAAAAAACCAGACTGCGTCTCCCTAACTCACCTAGGTTTGAAGTATATGGGCATGAGAGCTTTGACCTACTCCATTTCCCTGAGGTAATTCACCATTCCCTAGGTAACCCTCCTAGATTTTCCTCTGAATTCTGTCTCATCCTCTCTCAGATAGTCATCCCTTATAACAAGGAAGATTTTAAAGAAAAGGAAAAAAAGAAAGAAGAGAAAAAAATCTGCAAAAAATAATCTATACATCACAAAAAGCTCTTCACACGTATTATGTAATCTGAACCCAATAACAACCGTGTGATGTAGATGCTATTATCATCCCTATATTACAGATTAGGGATCTTTAGCCAGGGAATTTAGTGATTGGCCTAAAGCCACATAGCTAGCAAGTATCTGAGGGAGGATTTGAACTCAGGTTTTCAGTATACCAGGTCCAGGGCTCTACAACGCCACCCAAATGCCAGGCAGCTAGGTGATGCGGTGGATAGAGAGTAGATGAGTCAGGAAGACCTAAGTCCAAATCCAGCCTCAGACACTTATTAGCTATATGACCCTGGGCAAGTCACTAAACCTCTCTTTGCCTCATTTTCCTCAACTGTAAAACGGGGATAATAATGGCACCTACCTCCCAGGGTTCTTATGAGGATCAGTGAGATAATGTATGCAAATTGCTTTACAAATTTAAAAAATAATAACTAGTGTTTATCTAGTTTGGCAAATGACTTGCCCAAGGTCATATAGGTAGGAAGTGTCTGAGGCTAGATTTGAATTCAAGTCTTCTTGACTCCAACTCTAGCACTCTAACCACTGGGTTACCTAGTTGCCTAAATTAACAATTATTGAGCTATTTTTATTATTGTTAATATTTGGAAGGGAATAAGGTCAGTGGAAGGATTCTCTCTCCTTGGTTTTTCACAAGTCAGTGTAAAAGTTTTCAGTAAACTATCACCCAGTCTGCATTTGTTCTTGAAAATAGACACTAATTGCTCTGGAAGGAAAGGGTAATGATTATTAATGAGAAAACTCTTATCTAGAACACAGAGGAAAGTTACACAAGATATGTATTCTTACCTTAAAAGCCAAGACAATGCTGATAAAGAGAAGAATAATAAGGACTAGACAGGTAGGATTCACTGACATGATATCTTCCTTGTATGGAAAATGAGGAGGCTGGGGATGGAAAAAAACTAGTTAGTAAATCTCATTAATCATTCAAGATCCATTCCCAGGGCAGTGTTTCTGGCTTTCCTATCAGAAGGCAATTAATTAAAGCTGATAGCCATTGTTTAGGACCAAGATTCAATTTCTGGCCCATCTGGACCAAATAAAAATAACACTGAGAGAATGAGGAGCAGCTAGTTTCCTTATTTCGGGAACTGATTGATTCAGCACACTGTGCATTTCTAGAAGGAAAATAGAAATAAAGGTACACAAACGACATCTTAAAAGTTGTTTTCCCATTAACCACAGAAAATAGATCTCTTTTTCTTCTTGTTATTTGCTGATCAACCCCCAGGTCCCACTGTCACTTTGGAAACGGTGTCCCTTATGTAGAGACCTTACACCTTTGAACATATTAGAAGAGGAAGAAAGCTATACGCCCAGGGTTAAGTGTAAGACAAAATGTGCTCCCTCATCTTTGCCTCTTAGAATCCATATTTCCCTTCAAAGCTCAGCTCAGTTGCCACTTCCTGCACGAAGTCCTTCAGATTCTGGCTCCCCGAGATAATAATGCCTCCCTTCCTCCAACTTACATTATATTTTCTTTGTATATATTTTATATACACTGACATTTGGGTGTGTTGTTTCCACTAAATAGGAGGCAAACTGCTTGAGGGTAGAGACTTTCATTTTTGTCTTTATAGCTCCTGGAGCATCATCATAAGTGCTTAATAAATGCTTGTTGATTAATTGAAAGAGGAAATGGAGAAAGGTAGTCTAATTTCTTGGATGGAGACTTTTCAGTACACTAATTTCTACCACTGAATGAATCATTTCATAAGGTATTTATAATCTATCTTATTTACTCTCCTTTGAAGAGTCAATTTGGACCAAAGGAAGCCTCTCTAAGAGGGTCTCAATCTGCCAAAGGATTAGTAGTGAAGATGAGTCTTTTAATATTCAGTCATGTATGGGTTTGTTTTTCTTTTTCTTTTTTTTTTTTTTTAGGCAATGAGGGTTAAGTGACTTGCCCAAGGACATGGAGCTAGTAAGTATATGAGGTCAAATTTGAACTCGGGTCCTCCTGCACCACTTAGCTGCCCCTCTTAATATTCAGTTGTGAGGCAGGAATTTACCATGAATTAGCTGCTCAGTGCTGATGGGAACCCTCTGTGTAATTATCATGGGCCAATGTCATTGGAATATGGCAAACATGCATAAAATATTATATGAATAAATCTGAACGGTTTATGGACTCCAAACACCTCTTTACTTTCCAATAATATTTATTTGGAACTTGTCTAAAAGGCAATCTCTCTGGGTATTACAAATGTTGCAATGTAAAGAGTGTTGGCTATAGAATCATAGGAATTTGTGTTCAAACTCCAGGTCTGCCATTTACCACCTGCATGACTTAGGAGGAGTCACTAAACTTTTCTGGGTTTCCGTTTCCTCTTCTATAAAATGAGTGATTTGTTCTAGCTAACCTCCACGTTCCCATCAAGTTCTAAAACTATGATCTTATGAAGTGAAAATGTGGCATCTTTTCCCTAAGACATATAATATTATATGAGAGGCAGCATGGTACAATGAAAAGAGTTCTGGCTTTGGAGTCAGAGGACCTGGGTTCTAATCCTGTCTGTCACTTACTGCCTTGAACAAATGCGTGAAGCTCCTGGGCTTCAGTTTCCCGTTTGTAAAATGAGGGGGCTGGGCTAAACGGCCTCTAAGATCGCTTCTAGCTCTAATTCTATGACTCCTCTCACCTTACCAGCATTTTAATATGGGATATCAGATTTAGACCATTTTACAGACAAAGAAACTGAGGTCTGGATTGAGGGATGCAGCCAAAGTCACATAGATAGTAAGAAGCACAACCTTTTCAGTTAATCCAGAGAACAAATAAATAACTAAGTCAGTCCTTGGGGGGCTAGTCATTATATAGTCAGAAGAAAAACCAGGGTGAGAAATGAAAAAGATTCCTTCTTCTGAACTCCTCCTTGATGTTATATTTGTTCTCAGGTACATTATCTCTCATTTTGGTAACAAGTTCCTCCTCAGCCCTTCGAGCTTAGCTATTTCCCTAATTATACTAATTAGGGAACTAATTATAACTGATTATATTAGTTATCTTCTCTCCCATCCTGTGATAAATAGACTCACAAAACCAGAATTTGAGATTTGCAAAGGACCTTTGCATTGTCAGGAAGTCCAGCATGCATCCATAGGAATATGTGTATGTAATGACTTGTTTACAATATGATAGTATATGGTTACATGACACAATTGCATTGTCAAAATTTCAGTGCACGAAAAAACCACAAATGTACAATAAATTATTAAATTTAAGATGTGTCATTTTAAAAAATTATATTTTTTGAAATGATACAGATTAAAAAAAAGAACCCATTAAAGAGTTAAAGAAAGTAGATTTCCGGGGGGGGGGGTGCTGATTAATTTTTTTTTTTTTTGAAAAGGGGGCAGTAGGCCTAAACAAGTTTGGGAATCTCTGGTCTAGACTGTCTTTCAAAGACAACAAGCTGTACTTACTACACTTGCTAATATTGAAAATAAAAGAACTAAAGTAACTGGTGCATGTTAGAACTAAAGTCAGGCTGCCATGATTGACAGTATGTTGGACACATAAGGGATGCACTCTAAAAGCTTTACTTTTCCCTTTTGTGGATCTCACCTTTCTTGGAATTTGTGCCCTATAATAAAGCTTAGTAGAAAAGCACATGGGAAGAGAAAATGGTCAAGAAGGATGAAGAAAAGTGAGAAGAGTTTCATTTTTGTCGTTGTTCAGTTCTTTCAGTTGTGCCCAACTCTTTGTGACTCCATTTCGGGTTTACTTGGCAAAGATACTGAATGGTTTGCTATTTCCTTCTCCTGCTCATTTTACAGATGAGAAAACTGAGGCAAAGAGAGTTAAGTGACTTGCCCGGGGTCACATAGCTAGTGAGTGTCTGAGGCCAAATTTGAACTCAGGAAGATGAGTCTTTCTGACTTCAGGCCTGGCACTCTATCCTACTGCATCACCTAACTGCCCCAAGAGTCTCACTACTTACTCATAAAGAAGAGATATTTCTAGGAGAGGTATAACTAGTTAGCAGTTCAAGTAGGAGATGTTGTTAATATCCCTGGTTTCCTTTAGGGTCCACTGACAAGATTCAGGAATTGATTTCATTTTTAAAAAATAGTTTTATGGATGAAGTACATTAAAGTCATACTCTCATCTTTGAGACACACATCTCCCTGCCCCATAACAGCTTAGCTGCCTCACCTACTCGTATCAATTCAATCAACCAGCATTTATTAAACACATATATATGAAGCAGTAGAAGTACAAAGAAAGGCAAAAACAATGATGTCTTTAAGGGGCTCACATTCTAATGGAGGAGAAATCATGTACATATCTAGGTATATACAGGATACATACCAGATAGATGGACAGTAACCTTAGATGAGAGGGGACTAGTAGTTGGGGTGATTGGGAAGGGCTTCCTACAGAAGGTGCTATTTGAGCTGAGTCTTAAAGGAAACCAGGGATTCTAAGAGGTCAAAGGGTGGAAGAAAACCCCAGGTAACTGGAAGGATGGTGGCAATAAAGTTTGGAAGGGAGGGAAAGGTTTTGAGGAATAACAATGGTTCTACTTTGGACATATTAAGTTTGAAATGTCTATGAGACATCTAGTTCAAGATGTCCAAGACACAGCTGGTGATGTGTCACTATAGCTCAGCATGGAGATAAGGTAGGATATATAGATCTTAGAATCATTCCATGTAGAGATAGTTTAATTCCTTGGCTGATGTGGTCACCAGGTGAGAATATAGAGGGAAAAGAGAAGAAGGTCCAAAACCTTAGGGGACACCCACAGTTAGTGAGCATTACACGGATGAGAAGCCGACAAAGGAAGCTGAAAAGACAGTCTGAGAGGAAGGAGGAGAATCAAGAGTGAGAAGTGTTAGAAAAACCAAAAGAGGAAATAGCATATGGGAAGAGAAAATGGTCAAGAAGGATGAAGAGAGTGAAAAGACCTTTAGATATGGTATCTCTCACATAGGCTGAGTGAA